CCCGCGGGCAGCGCTCCGATGCTCTTTAATTATTGCAGCTTTAAGGGGGGTAGGCGCGAATCCGAGCCCAGCACGGCGAGGGGACACGGCCGGGGGTCCGTGTGTGGGTCTCCGCTCAGCTGGGGGGCGTGGGGGCGTCGGGGCCCCCCAAGGAGGCTGAGCCCCCCCGGGGCTGAGGAGCAGCGGGGCTGGGGAGAGGGGCACGTCCTCAGCCTGGCAGCACGAGGGTCCCCGTGTCCACGTGAGGCATTGCCAGCACGGCTCCGCCTCATGGCACAGGGATCCCCGCGTCCCCATAGGGCGTCAGCAGCACGGCTCAGCCATGTGCGATGAGGGTCCCCACAGGACATCGTCCACACGGCACGAGGATCCCATGGGAAGCCCGTATGGCTCAGCCAAACGGGATGGGGATCCCTGCGGGGCTCCGTCCACACGGCTCAGCCTCACGGCACAGGGAACCCCGCGTCCCCAGGGGCGTCAGCAGCACGGCTCAGCCACGCGGCACGAGGGTCCCCACGGCGCACCGTCGGCCGCACAGCACGGCCGTCCCCGCGAAGCATCGTCGGCGCATTTTGGGCACGGAGCTCCCTCCTCCGCACGGCGCAGCACCGGCACGGCTCGGGGCTCCGCGCCGCAGCCGCTCAGGGCAGCTCGTAGCGGTAGGTGGTGACGGTGCAGTTGGCCAGGCGGCCGTAGGCGGTGGGCAGGACGTAGCGGCTCTGCCGGCGGAACCCCAGGCGCTCGTAGAGGGCTCTCGCCTCGTGCTGCAGCATGATGGTGTTGAGCACCACGGCCCTGCAGCCGCGCTGCTGCCGCGCGAAGCCCAGCGCCTCGCGTCCCAGCGCCGCCGCGATGCCCCGGCCGCGGTGATCCTTGCGCACCGCCATCCGTTTCAGCGCCAGCAGCCCGGCCTCCCCCGCCGGCCGGACGCCCACCGTGCCCACCACGCGCCCGTCCGCCTCCGCCACCCAGAAGCGGGCGCCGGGGCCGTCCATGTAGGCGCCGCGGATGTCGCTCAGGTCGCCGCCCAGGCAGCGCTCGATGTAGGCGCACCACGCGCGGCCCAGCGCCTGGCGGCCCAGCGCCAGCAGCAGCGTCAGCGCCAGCACGGGCAGCAGCAGGGAGCGGGCGCTGGCCAGCAGCAGGCAGAAGGTGCAGCCCAGCACCAGCAGCACCCAGGGCTGCCGCAGGACGTGCAGGCACAGCGCCGGCGCGTATTCGCTCATGGCGGTGGCGAAAACCTCCCGCGCCGCCTCGTAGTCCTCGTCGCGGTACGGCCGGATCCGGAACCCCGCCATGCTGCGCTGCCCTGCGGCGGGAGGCGTCAGACCCCCCCCCATCCCCCCATCCCGTGGTGTGCAGCGGGGCGGATGCTGAGGGACCGCGGCGTAAGGGCACGGCCGTACTGTGGGATGGGGGGAGTGCCAGCACTGCCCAGCCCACGGAGCCCCCGTATCCCATGGCGACCATCATGCCCCATAGAGACCCTATGCCCCATAGAGACCCTCCTGCCCCATAGAGCCCCCATTGCCCATAGAGACCCTCCTGCCCCATAGAGCCCCCATGGCCCATAGAGCCCCTATGCCCCATAGAGACCCTCCTGCCCCATAGAGCCCCCACCCCCCAGAAAGCCCCCATGACCTATGGAGCCCCTCACCTTATGGACCACCCCCACACTACAGAGCCCACGTGCCCCACGGAGCCTCTCCTCTGCCCTGTGGAGACCCCATGCCGTATTAAACCCTCACACCCCACGGAGCCCCCTGTGCCCCATGGAGCCCCACATCCCCGCACAGCCCCCACTGTGCCCCTACGGAGCCCCCTGTGCCCCACGGAGCCCCAGCCGCCCCCCACGCTCCACGCAGCCCCTGCGCCGTGAGGAGCCCCGACCCCTCGGTGCCCCCCACACCTCCCGGCGCCCACGGACCGGCCCTGGGCACCCCCCGGCCCTGCCCCGATCACACCCGCCCACGTGCGGACCCCGCACCCCGCGTGCCCCCGACCCCCCCCCGCTCACCGCCTTGCCGCACCCTCCGCCCTCCACCATCGCCAGCCCGGCGCTGCGGCGTCCGCTGCCCATTGGCCGCCGCTCTCACGGGGGCCACGCCCCTCCCGCCGCCAACAGCCAATGGGCGCCGAGCGGGGGAGCGAGGGAGGCGGGCGCGCGGGTCACGTGAGCAGGGAATGAATGGGAGGGTACGGGGAGGGGCGGGGCCCGCGCACTCAGAGCCGCCGTTGGCCGTCAGGGGGAGGGCGGGGCCAATAGGGAGGCGTGCCGCGCGGAGGGGCGGGGCCTGCGGGAGCGCGGCGCCGCGGGTTCGATGCCCGCTCCGGGCGGCTCAGGGGGCGCGGCGCTGGGCGCGGAGGCGGCGCAGGCGGTGGCGGTGCAGCCGCAGCTGGAGGTCCGGCGGGCCGCGGCCCCGCAAACGCCGCCGCGCCAGGCGGAAGCTGCAGGGCGTGGGAACGTTCTCGAAGGAGACGCGGCACGGCCGCGTGGCCGCCTCGTAGCCCTCGGCCCGCGCCGTCACCTCGTACTCGCCGGGGTTCAGCAGCCGCCAGTAATCCCCATCCACAGCTGTGGGTGAGGGCAGGGTGACGTCCCATCTCCATCCCCATCTCCATCCCGTTTATCCCACCTCCCATTCACCATCCCTCCATCCATCCCCTCCATCCCCATTCCCTCGATCCCATCCATCCCATTTATGGCATCCCACCTCATCCCATCCCCATCCTCCACCCCGTCCCTGTCCCTGCCCTCCCCCCCCTCTCCATCCCGCTGTACCTGTCCGCACATCGTGGTTGATGCCATCCACAGAGATGATGGCGTTGGCGATGCCCTCACCCGTCTCTTCATCCCGAACCACCCCCTTAATGCCACGGTGCACCTGGGAACCACAGGGCCGGGGGTCAGGGGGGCACCTCACGCTGCACAGCACCCATGTGAGGCACCCTCAGGGCTGTTTGGACTCAACGCAAGCCCTGGGGCACAGCCTGGCACCACGGCACAGCCCCGTGGCACAGCAGCACACAGGAACCCTCGGAGCACACACACCTCCAGCACGTGCCCACCGCAGCTCCCCGCTGCCCCAGCCCCACGCAGGGAGCAGGGAAGGTGCTGCAAAGCCTGGGGGATACCGAGGGACCCCCGGCCACCCCCTGCAGCCCCCACCTGCTCCATGTAGAGCAGCAGCGACTCGCGGTTGTTCTCCCACTCGGTTGGCAGCTCGGAGACGTGGGGGAATTTGTCACACGAGAGCTCCACCGTGATCTCGAAGCAGTTGGTGTGCAGGTAGCTGAAGTCATTCATACCTGAGGGAGGGCGGCGGTGCATCAAGGGGGGGCGGGGGGCTGCGGGACCCCCCCAGCCTCACACTCACTGCCGGGCACCGTGTGCCAGTTGGCCCCGTTGATGATGTTGCCGGAGCGCATGAAGTCGTCGTAGTGGCAGAGGCGGCGCTCCTCGCTGGCCATGGCCAGGTTGGAGGTGGCATAGACAGTGGCCAACCAGCGGAACACGCCGTCGTCTGCCGTGGGGGTCAATTCCTGAGCCTTCCAGTAGGTGCGGGTCATGTCGAAGGGGTAGGTGACCACCAGCTCCCCGCCGTGCAGGTTGGCGCTCAGCACGAAGGGGTAGCGCTGCATCCAGTCGATCACCGCTCGTGTCTCTGGGGCCACCTGTAGTGACATCGCATCACTGGGGCACTGCTGGGACCCCCAACCAGTCCTGTGCCCCCAGGGGTCACCTGTGTGACACCGCATCATTGGGGCACAGCTGTGACCCCCAACCAGCCCTGTGCCCCCAGGGGTCACCCGCGATGACACCACATCACTGGGGCACAGCTGGGACCCCCAGTCCACCCCTGTGCCCCTGGGAGCTGCCTGTGGTGACACTGCATCACAGAGGCACAGCTGGACCCCCAACCCAGCGCTGTGCCCCAGGAGCCACCTGCAGTAACACTTCATCATGGGGACATAGCTGGGAACCCCAACTCAGCCCTGTGACCCAGGGGTCACCTATGGTGACACTGTGTCATCGAGTCACAGCTGAGACCCCCCACTTCAGCCCTGTGCCCCCAGAGGTCACCTGTGTGACACTGCATCATTGGGGCACAGCTGGGACCCCCAATCCAACCCTGTGCTCCAGGGGCCACCTGTGATAACGCTGCATCGTGGGGGCAGAACTGGGACCCCCAACTCAGTCCTGTGCCCCAGGGGACACCAGTGGTGACACTGCATCATGGGGACACAGCTGGGACCCCCAACCCAACTCTGTGCACCCAGGAGCTGCCTGTGATGACACTGCATCATAGAGGCACAGCTGGACCCCCGACCCAGCCCTGTGCCCCAGGGGTCACCTATGGTGACATTGTGTCATCGAGTCACAGCTGAGACCCCCCACTTCAGCCCTGTGCCCCCAGAGGTCACCTGTGTGACACCGCATCATTGGGGCACAGCTGGGACCCCCAACCCAACCCTGTGCCCCAGGGGACACCAGTGGTGACACAGCTGGGACCCCCAACTCAGCCCTGTGCCCCAGGGGACACCAGTGGTGACACCACACCGTGGGGACACCTCCAGGACCCTCGCACCATCCCCGCACCCCGCAGTGCTGTGCCCTCACCGTGGCATTGGCGAAGGTGTAGTACTCAGGGATGGGGATGTAGTGGTTGGGGAACTGGTGGGGCACCAGGTCGTTGTCCTCAGCGTCCCACAGCGCCGTGTTGAGGTCGGCAAAGTTGTGGTTGAGGTCGATGCCCTCATAGGTCCAGCGGCCCATGGCCCAGCCCGACAGCTCCGACCCCTATGGGGCGTGCGGGGTCAGCCGGAGGGCAGGGGGACGAGCGCGTGGGGTTTGGGTTTGGGGCCGTACCAGGCGGTAGGCGGTCTCGTAGCCGTCGGGGTTCATGGAGGGCAGGAGGTGGATGCGAGTGCTGGTGACCAGCTGCACCACGCGGGGATTGCCGCGCCGGAACTCGCGGCACAGATACTCCATCAGGTTGAGCAGCAGCTCCCGGCCCAGCACCTCATTGCCGTGCATCCCCGCCACGTAGCGGAACTCGGGCTCACCTGTGGGTACGGCCCGTATTGGCTGTGGGTCCCCCCCCCCTCCCACCCACCCAGCCCCGTATCCCACCCCACAGACGCACCCACTTCGTGCCGCCCCGGGTTGTCGGAGATCTCCATGACGTACATCTTGAGGCCCAGGTAGCTCTTCCCGATACTGTAGATGCGGGTGATGTTGGGGCACTCCTCGTTCACCCTCTTCATCAGCTGCAGGGAAAGCACTCGCACTGGGGTCCAGGGGCACCCAGGCCTGCAGGGACCACATTTGGGGGATCCCAACGCACCTTCCTCATCTCCTTGTAGTTGTGGTGCCGGAAATCCAGCTTGTCGGTGGGCACGGGCTCATTGGGCCACTGGTAGATGTTGTTGGGGTCTGTGGGGTGAGGACACGGGCAGGGTGAGGGATGCACGGAGCAGCCCCCCGCCCCGCACGCCGTGCCCGTTCCCACCTGGCATGGCACAGCCCAGCACTTCGGCCCGCAGGCAGATGGTGCCGTTCTCAAACCAGCTCTGTGGGTTGATGCGGATGTACCGTGCCACCGCCGGGCACGGCAGCGTGTTCAGCACCGGGGTCTCGGGGTCCTTGTTGGCTGGGAACACCTGGGGGGGGGGGGTCCCAACCCCTGCATGAGCGTGGGCACAGCGCGGCAGCGGGGGGTGCTGGGATGTGGGGATGGAGCAGAGCCACCAATGGGGACCAAAGGGTTACGGGCTCTGTGCTGCGTGGCCCCGTCCTCCCCTGGCCCCATTCCAGCCCCTAATGAGGAGCGGACACGTGGCAGTGGGCTGAGCCCGGCGCTGAGGGACCTGAGTGGGGCAGAACCGTGGGGCTGGGGTATCACACTGCTCCGTGCCCCCTTGCAGCATAGGGGCCCCCAGGAATGAGCATGGGGACCCCAAACCGCTCCAGGCAATGGGAACTCACCCCAGCTCCTGGCACAGCTGCGACCCAGAGACCCCAACCCCGCTGTCAGCCCCTGTTTCTCCCACATTCCCACACACCGTGGTTGTGTGGGGGGGGACCCACCTGCACCCACCCACCCGGCACAGCTCCCACGTGTGTCCCCGGGCACCACGCTGCCCTGCTCACCTCTGGGCACACCCCACTGTGCCACGAGGCCCCGCTCAGCCCCGCGTGTCCCCCCGCGCCCCCGGCCCCCCCAGCGGGCAGCAGCACAAGCAGCCTTTGTGCGGAGGGGAAGCGCTGGAGGATGCTCTGCGGGACGGGAGGCCAAAGGCAACAGCAGAGCCCGGTGCGCCGTTAACCCGCCGAGCCCCGCTGTGCGGGACGGGTAAGGATGGGGCTCCTACCGCCTCCTCGGTGCCATTGCGGCACGGCTGCCACGTGTGCGTGTCGTTGCTGAACTGCACCTTGTAGGAGGTCACCCAGTCGTACCTGTGGGGGGGCACGGTGTCACCGGCGCCCGGAGCCCCTCCGGCCCCCCACCCCGTGCCTTACGTCCAGATGGAGTTGAGCCCCTGCGTGATGACCCCGGTGAAGTTGGTGAGGCGTCGCGCGTCCACCTCCAGCCACTGCCCCGCGTCCTCCTGTCCTGCACACCAACCGCCGTCAAAGAAATCCCCGTCGTAGAGCCCCGACTGCGGGTAGAGGGCGCCGGTGGGCTCAGGGTCCAGACTGGGGCAGCTCCACACCGACCAGTTGGGCCAGGAGACCCTCGGGGGGTCGCGGTGGAACTCCAGGGAGAGGTGCAGCACAACGCCCGGCACCCTGACACACATGTGCCATGCACACACCAAGCACACGCCATGCACACGCCATGCAGATACCCTGCACACGCCACTCTGTGTGCACCATGCACACCTCAAACACATGCCAAGCACACCTCAAACACACGCCAAGCACACGCCAAGCACACGCCCTACCTGGATGTTGAGCCGCCCTCGGTGGGCGCCCAGCCCGTAGCGTTTGTCGCTGGAGGAGCGCAGCTGGGAATCCTGAACCCGCAGGGACTCCAGCCCCAGAGGGGGGCACGCTGGGGGGCAGAGGGCACGGCACACTCAGTGACCCCACTG